TGATAGTGATGGTGATGATGGCGATGGTGGGGATGATGAAGGCCATAGCTACAATTTACAATGCACCTGCTACATGCTGGAAACTTCTAAAGTTTCAACACCCACCATTTCATATAAACTCCATAGCAAGATACGGTTATCATTTAACTTCCTTTTACAAGTGAGGAAACTGAGGCACAAAAGGACTCTGTAACAGGCTCAGGTGACACAGCCAGGCTGTGGCAAGACCAGTATTGCCATTCAGATCCACATGACTTTATAGCTGGTGCTTTAACCACTGTGCTCTGCTCATGGGTGACCACCGGCCTTGTTGGTGTGGCTACCGGCTCTGCCCAGGCACTGGGTCACACCAGGGAATGAGGTGGACAAGTGTGCTGCCTTTGCAGAGCTTACACCCAAGACCAACAAGACGCAAATTGGAAACCATTGAGTAGTCATATATAGATTTAAAACAGAGTGGTTTGCTAGATTCTGACAAGGTGGCAACTTGACAGTGGGTGCTTGGGGCCGGGGCGGGGGGGACCTCTCTGAGGAGGTGACATTTCTGCTCAGATCTGAGTGACAGAGAAGGGGTGAGGGGAAAGGGCATTGTAGGCAGAAGCAGCAGCTGAGCAAAGGCCCTGTGGCTGGAACCAGGAATGAAGAAGGTGAACAGGGGGCTGCCAAGGTACCACACCCCGCCATTTGTCCATCTGCTCAGCACCTGAGTCCTGCAAAGGGGTGTGAGCCATCTGAGCGACTGACGAGCAAAGAAACAAAGCTAGCCAGTAAGCCAGCAGGACATGGGCGATTTCCCTGGGCCTGCACAAAGTTTCTGCCCAGGGCCCAGAGAGCACAGAGCCTCCAGACCTCCTCCTGTCTCACGAGGCATCCGAGCACAAGGTGGGTGGCACGGTGTGTCGGAAAGATGCCCACTCTCTGGGCAGAGGGCATCACTCCCCAAACTCCTACTGAGCCCACTCCCAGGCCAGGGGGTGGCCCTGCTCCTGCTGGCTTCCTGGCACCCCTCTCAGGCCTCTGGCTGGCCCCCAGCAAGCGGCCCTTCTTGTCTAATTTCCTTCTAGTTGGTGTCACTGCCAGCCTCCTAGAAATGCCTCAGGCCCTGGGCCCCAGAAGGCCAGGGATGGTCCCAGCCCAGTGCCCTGACCCGGTGTCCAGCTTGCACAGGTATCCCCAACAAGCGGGGCCGCTCAAGCCAGCAGAGACAGGCAGCATGGCACGGGTGCCCCCAGTGGCCAGGAGGGGCCAGGGACGCACCCCCAGCTGCTGTTTCCCTCACCATGGACACCAGGGACTTGTCGTGGGAACTGCCTCCAGGCATGAGTCAGGCCCCACCCTGTGCCCACCTGCTCACCATCTACCCTCAAGCTTTGTGGGCTTGGGCTGCAGGCCAGGGGTCCCCATGCGGATCGGCCTGGGGCTTCTATGAGACCGACAGAGGTGGCACCCCTGCGCACAGCCGGCTGGGCTCTGACCCTGACCCCAGTTAGGAGACTCCGCGTTGTCAGCATTTACTAATGTGGACAGATGCAACA